TCATATCCCACAGCCAGTCAGTCCTGAGTGCGCTAAGGGACAGATTTCCAAAAGAGTGCAGCTACCATTTTTACACCAAAGTAAGAAGCAAGATTTTCAAGAGTGGCAAGCACCCACAACTCCAACTGAAGTCAATGGGAGTTAAAGGTGTTCAATATTTCTAAAATTCAAGCACTATAGGGCAGATTTGCAAGTGCTCAGTATCAACAAATGGGCCAGAGTGCTTGGCACCCAGCAGCTCCCATTGTGACACTCAGTGTGCTGAGTTCTTTTGATACCCTGGCCATTTGTTTTTGGCATGTAGGTGAAGTGTTGAGCACTTCTGAAAAAAATCAAAGTTTTACATGACTAAATCTTTAAGATTGATTGTTATAATGTAAATAAATGAATCATTTACATATATGACTGGCATATCATCTTTTCCTCTTAACTGAAGTTTAAGATGGTTTTCCCAAAAAAAGGAAAACCTAAAATTTTAAATCAATAATAAACTGAAATTCTTAACCAGTAGAACTCTAAACACAAGAAAAGTTATATGTTCTAACCCCATATGACAATGACTTTTAACATAAAAAAACCACTAAGTCCCTCACTCCTCCCAGTCGTGTGTGTGTTTGTTTTGAAATGCAGACCTGGAGGTAATTCTAATGCTTTACTTAACTGCTGCCAAGAAAACAGAAGAAACACTAATATAATGCATAATATCTCCATAATCAAACTATATATTCTATATTTTTAGAGTCACGATATAGCAAACATGTCTTAAGGGACATAATGCTTACTAGCGAGAAAAGTTGCAGGTAACTAGCCAAGGAGCAAGGCACATAGAAATGTTTCCAGTATTTGGTCTTCGATTTCCCTCTCTCATTTGTGTGTACACATGTGTGAGCTCACATTTACTTCAGAAATTCTTGCTGGGAAATGAAGAGATTTCTCTCTTCATATGTATTATTACACAAGCTTTCATTACATGATCACATATATAATTGCAAGTTCCATCTTTTCCCCCTCCCCAACTTTTTGTTAAGTGAACTTCGTAATTAAAGAAAAATCTATGCATGTGTCACATAAGTAAACATGGTTTTAGTAATCAAGTATTTAATTAACTTTTGGATGGCTACAGTAATCCCACCCGATATCTGTTTATCGAGAGCTGAAATTACACCTTCACCCATTTCTCCATAGGAATGGGCTGCTTGATTTTTGGTCTGAAGTTTAGAAGCCAGTTGAGTTTTCAATTTAACTTACTAATAGACATCTATGTCTCTTTTTCACAGGATCTAATTTGGGAATTTTCTGTTGCAAATCTCAACGAACATGCACAGAAAGGTTATTTTACCCTGAGACAGCTTACCGCAAACATTATGAAGATTTAATTCCAGTTTTAATAACTGTCTTTCCCCAGATGTTCTCCTTCCTGTAAGCATGTAATTATTTTACCTACTAATTCAAAATGTAACAAGTTTGAACCTACCTTTTAAAAAAATATAAAGGACTAAAGAAAATAAGGTTAATTTAATCTATTTTATTTAAATTCACATACATAGCATAGCAACCACATACCAAGTGGTATGGATTTTTCCCCCACCCCAAGTTCAGGCTTTTTGTTTTGATGTTCAATATTGTGATCACTTGAAGTTGATGAGGACTGATTTAAATACCTGTAATCAAGGTTAAAAACAGAACAAGCCCTACATTTACAGGGTATAATTTAATTCTGGTCTGCAACTTTCTATGTCCCTGAATTCTTTTCTCCACAATGCCCCTGTCAAGGCTGTATCCCCACTTTGAACTTTAGGATACAAATGTGGGGGCCTGCATGAAGACTTCTAAGCTTAACTACCAGCTTAGATCTGGTCCACTGCCACCATTCCCAAAGCTAATTCCCTCCCCTGGGAAGCCTTGAGAAACCTTTCACCAATTCCCTGGTGAATACAGATCCAAATCCCTTGGATCTTAAGACAAGGAGAAATTGATCATCCCCCCTCCTTCCTCTCACCAACTCCTGGTGAATACAGATCCAACCCCCTTGGATCTAAAAACAAGGAAAAAATCAATCAATCAGGTTCTTAAAAAGAAGGCTTTTAATTAAAGAAAAAGGTAAAAATCATCTCTGTAAAATCAGTATGGAAAATAACTTTACAGGGTAATCAAACTTAAAGAGCTCAGAGGACCCCCCTCTAGTCTTAGGTTCAAAGTACAGCAAAGAAAGATAAACACTCTAGTAAAAGGTACATTTACAAGTTGAGAAAACAAAGGAAAACTAACACGCCTTGCCTGGCTATTTACTTACAAGTTTGAAATATGAGAGACTTGGTTAGAAAGATGTGGAGAACCTGGATTGATGTCTGGTCCCTCTCAGTCCCAAGAGCGAACAACCACCAAAACAAAGAGCACAAACAAAAGCCTTCCCCCCCCCCAAGATTTGAAAGTATCTTGTCCCCTTATTGGTCCTTTGGGTCAGGTGTCAGCCAGGTTACCCGAGCTTCTTAACCCTTTACAGGTAAAAGGATTTTGGAGTCTCTGGCCAGGAGGGATTTTATAGTACTGTACACAGGAGAGCTGTTACCCTTCCCTTTATAGTTATGACAGCCCCCTACTGCAAGTTTGCAAATAATCATCACAAAGGCTGGTCATTTCTAAATAGAACCTTTTATCTGTTAATCTGCTTCCTGAAGCTTCTTAGAGGTATGAATATACTTATCACACACTACTAAAAAATTTCCTCTTTTACACATGTGAAATTTTTTTTTTTAAACCTCTATAAAAGAGCAACCCCCTAAAGACTATTTCATCCAGAAGCAACCATTTGGAAAACATCTATACATTTTAATATAAAAACAGTAACCCTTTTTTGTCATCTTTTAAAAATCTTACTATATAATTTATTGGAGAATTTGATTGTTGCTTTAGATTTAAAAAACTTGGAAAATAATCCTCTAACACAGATTTTTACAGTAATTTCTATATAACCCTATTCAATTTCACCCCTATTCTTTTCTAAAGGGCCATCCCATAAAGGGGAGACTGAGATAGCTATTTAAAATGGAAAATAAAAAGCAAGTCTGGAATTCAGCCTAAACACTAACACCCACCCCCCCACCACACACACCTTTTTCTTAGTATACAAATAACCGTGTCATTCCTTAAATGGTCTTATTCTTGTTAAGGATATAGTTTTCAATGAACACTAAACAGAAACTACTAGCTCTCTGACAACCATGAAACTGCAAAAGAGAAATAAAACCGGTACAGTGGTCTGAGAATAAAACTAAATTACATTTTCTTGAATTTACTATTCCTGGATGAGTCCAATCTCAGCTATGGGCACTAAACCCCCTCCCCCCCCCCACACCCACCCCCTAACAATATGTCCACATATATTACAGAAATCATCATCAAAAACAGGAGTTGGCCAAAAATCAAACCCCTTTGCTCTAAGTTTTATTTCTATATGCACTTTTATTTATTGACCATCTTTTGAGCAGTTTTCCTTTAAAAAAATTCTATTGTTACAATATTATCACATCTATTAAATTTCCTGTACAAAAATCATCATCATTTCATATTACTTAGTTTGTTACAAACATGTCTGGGTCAGAGACTCTCTTTTTGTTGTGGCTGTACACTGCTTAGCACAATTGTGTCCTGATTTCTGGCCCGGGGTTTACTACTACTAACATTTTTATTGTAATAAAAACAAACATTCTATTCAATTAAACTCCTTAATTAAAAAAGTCAGACAATGAGTATGCCTTGCCCTGCAACTTGTCCACCTCAGAGTTTAAAGGGCAGAAAGGACCAGCAGATCATCTAGTCTGACCTCCTACATATAGGACCCTACCAAATTCACTGCCATGAAAAACACGTCACGGACCGTGAAATCTGGTCTTCCCCCTCCCCCCCCCCGTGAAATCTGGTCTTTTGTGTGCTTTTACCCTATACTATACAGATTTAAAGGGGGAGACCAGTGTTTCTCAAATTGGGGGTCCTGACCCAAAAGGGAATTGGGGGAGGGGTCGCAAGGTTATTTTAAGGGGGATCACGGTATTGCCACCCTTATTTCTGCACTGCCTTCAGAGCTGGGCAACTGGAGTGCGACGGCTGTTGGCCAGGCGCCCAGCTCTGAAGGCAGCGTCCTGCCAGCAGCAGCACAGAAGTAAGGGTGGCAATACCATACCATGCCATCCTCACTTCTGCGCTGCTGCTGGTGGAATTCAGCAATCACATGATTAGGCCCAAAGATACCTTAGAAGATTATTTTTCTAGCTGTTTTCATAGGTGAACAGTCTTTACTACCTTATGGAAGTAAAGACGATACTCAGACAAAGCCATAACATTTTTGAATCTGCATTTTTAGTCATTCTGTGGTCTTAAAAACAAAGGGCTCGATCTTGCCACCATTAATCCATACATAAAGTCCAACTAATTTTACTAGCATCAGGATCAAACATAGCTGTTTTTGACACCACTATTACAGCTGCATTATAGGTTTGCTAGAGTAGCCCTTGCTAGTTGTGATGCCAATCATGCCCCAAGTGTTTCTCTATGGCTTTGTCTATACTGGAAATCTGCCCTGACTTCAGTAACTGATGAAGCTGTATTGGTGCAAACCCTAAGGATAGACAAGCACAGCCACACAATTTGTGACACCAGAGCATATCCATGTTTGAAACCAGGGCTCCACCAATGCAGATTTCAGCTTACCTTGTCTATACTTAGGGTTTACATTGGTGTAGCCATCAGTGGCTGGTCATCAATTGCTGGAAGACAAGGCCCAAAAATATAGAGGAGGGGGGAGATTGCTCCAAGAGATCCAAATGGCTAACCATTTAAATGTCTACAACAACTTCATATTCATTTTTTTACTGACTGAGAAACACTCTTCCAGGTAAGTACAAGTAGTAATATCTCAGAATTAGTAAAGGAGAGATATCTGAGCACACAGTACATTACAGTTTAAAAAAAAGTTATGCACTCCGGTCTGCTAAAATACTTACCTACGAATCCCTGCAAGAATATTATTCACAGCTGCCATCAGTTTCTGTAGGCCTAAAAAAGCTTCTTCAAATGAAGATATCTTTGCAGTAGTGGTGGTGGTGATACTGTGATCCAGCTTCTGGAAAATTTCAGTACTAATATGAGGTCAAAAACAAGAGAAAACATTCTATCAGAAGAACAAACTTTTTTGCCTCGTATCATGGGAAACTAGAAATGCACATCACCACAAATACTATATTTTGACTATCTTAGACAAACACACGCACATTGTCTCAAAGGTCAAATACAAATGTCAGGTACATCAGTGTTGTCCAAAACACTCACACAGGAGTACAAAGTTTTCATTTTGTTTGCATGCATTTTAGATAAGGTGCTTAAACAGGTAATAGAAGCCACCAATTCAATTGTTTTGTAAGTTAAAAGGGTAGATTTCTGATCACTTATTGTTACTTTAATAAACAAATGTCATGTTGACATAGGACGTTCCAGCTGAGGCTTTCAAAACACTTTACAAAATAATTAAGAGGCACATTCCTACGAGTATGGAAAAGACCCTGGAGTGGTTATGCAAACTGCTCACTGAAGTGCTAGTCCCAGTTTCTAACCGGGAAGCTACTCTCACTATTTAATTTATAATTATTAGTCAATCACTCCATGGATGAGACTTTAATTGTCAAGAATTAGTCTTTAGCACATTTTGTAGAGTTGGATTAGAAGAGAAACTGTAATAGAACTCTAAAAAAACCCTTCCATAAATAAATAAAACATTTGACAAATGAAACATAATCCTTATTTTTAATTTTTAGAAAAATTGTAACAGATATCTTTCCTTACAGAGTATCAAACATTTTAGCATAGAAGTAGGACCAGATTTTATTGTGCTAGACCAGATTTCACAGTCCGTGATACGTTTTTCATGGGCGTGAATTTGGTAGGACCCTCAAATAAGTATAGCCTTGTATAAACTTGGGGTCAAATTTTCAAATGGGTCTCAAAATGCAACTCCAAAATGTGCAGACACACACATTTTTGATTTGTGCAACTGGAGCAGCAACAGACTCCAGATGTGGATTTTCAGACATCTTGTTTAAAAATTCAACCATTAATACACTTCTTTTTAAACTGCAGAGACCAAGAACTTAGTAAGATTTAAAGAAGAATGGTTGGTCATTTATATAGATAAGTTAGAATACCTAAGCCAAAAAAAAAAATTGAAAGGGAAAAACCCTTATGTCTGAGTTTAAACTAATCTTTATTAGAGATTAGGAGGAGATCTTCCTGGAGAGCAGACTACCCCACATAAACCTATTGTCAGGTTCTTGCATCTTACTCTGAAGCATCTAGTGGTGGATAACATCAGAAACAGTACAGTCAGCTAGATGGACCATGGCTGATTCAATATGGCAATTCCTATGTCATAACTAACACATTAAAAATTAGAATATGTGATTTTCCCCCCTTCCCCCCCCCCCCAACCCATGTACATCACTAATAGGACAGCCTTGTAGGGAAAGGCAGACAATTTAAAAAAAATACTGTGTGTTTGGGGGAACCACACGAAACAACCAATAGCATGCAAAATCCCCCCAACTCTTTCAGCACTTAGTACCTGTACAGGTTTATTGTATTCCAAATGCTTTCAAGGACAGACCAGATTTCCTGATGTCTTTTATCTTGGGACAGCTGAGTGTTTGACAATGACTTGCCTTCCTCACACGTTTGCAGATGCAGCCTCACACCTTCCGTTTTTGAACCTGCAGTGTTTTCTGAAAGAGCTGTCAGGGCTCCTGATGATTTTTGTCCACTGTCTGACCAAACCTCATGAAATAGACAACCATACAGGTGTTGGAGAACTGTAGAAAAACCTACATGGGAATCCATTTTTTTCCCCTCTTTTTTTTTTTTTTTTAAATAATCAACGTATCTAAGGTACTTATATGGCCTTCATCACCATAGCATCTGAGACCCTCACAATCTTTAATGCAACAACTCAAAACGTCCCTGTGAGGCAGGTCAGTCGTCTTATTCCTATTTTATAAATGGAGAACTGAAGCACAGAGAGGCTAAGTGACTTGCCCAAAGTCACACAGGAAGTCTGTGGTGGAGTAGGAAACTAAACCCCAGCCTCCCAAGTCCTAGGTTAGTGCCCTAACCACTGGACTATCCTTTCCTGAACTATCCATGCATAGTCAATCCATAGAAGACTCCAAAGCTGAATTTGCACATTTTAACCCACGCCTTTCCCCCCCGCCCCATATAGCTCATTAATGCACAACAGAAGTGTTCCATTCTGTTTAATCTTCACTTAGAGATGTAAAGCACATGATTTTCACAGTAAAATAATTTCAACACTAATTACAAACCAAGGACATGGAATTTCTTTCACACTAATGCCACACATACTTGACAAGAGTTATTCTGCAAAGCGAGGATTTAAGGTATTTTACATATAAATTACTACATTAAAAACACAACAACAGGCTGTGGTGTGTGCAAATATTTTCTTTGTCTGTAAAAATGGGGATACTGAGAAAAACTACTGAAATGATTTCAATAAGGTCTTCGTTACAGGGCTTTCCCTTCACCCTCTCCCCTGGTTCTTGTCATGCAGACAGAAAGTAGAAGACCAGAAGTCCGAAGTGCAGGCAATGCGATGTTTATTGGGGTTAGTTCCAAGCAAGCATATCCATAGCTCTACACTTCAGAAGAGTCTGTTTCCTAGTGTCCCCCTTCCCAGCTCTGATGCTGCAGAGCCTTGCCTGTGTCCCCGTTCCCCATTCCCACCTCCTCTTTCTTAGCAGGCCCAAATATACCTGCAATGCATACCCTCAGTCCCACCCCTTACAACTTATGGTCATGTTCAGTTTTGAGGGGAGGGTCGTGGTCTGGGGTCTTCGTCCCACCTCTTTTGGACCCCATGGGAGGGGTACAGAGTGAGATTGTGTTCTGGCCAAGGCCAGGCTTTTCTTTGGCATGTAGTGTTTCTTAGGCCTCCCCCCCATCCCCATCTTAACTGGTTGCTTGACCTTGGCTTGAGAAAGGAGCCAGGCAGCCTTTCAGTATATGCTTATATTACACTTCCACCATACCCTGTAACACATTGGCACTATCCCTCATCTTTTCTCATTGTAGTAAAAGCCCCATCTGGTTGTGGGAAATGCAACACAGTGTCTTTGTTAATTGTTCTTCACTCACATCTTATACTAATATGTGTATCAAAAAGTGAAACCCAAAATTCTATCTCAGGCTGACAAACAAACCTATATACTAACACCAGTGGCAAACCTAGGAATAAGAACTCTCTATTTTTAACTTTTATGGCTCTCTCTAAAGATGACAAATTTAGTGGGGGGGGGAGAAGGGGGGAGAAACGGACGACAAAAACAAAACTCAAGTGATCCACGGTATTGGGTTGTGTAATTCATGCAAGACTACTGTCAGATAACAATTTTTCAGAACAATAAAGTAAAATGAGTTGCTCTAAGAGCAAACTACTAGGATAGAAGGTCAGAAAAAACTATTTCATCTACTCTATTTAATGAGCTTTAAATTTCTATAATGTCAATCATGCCTAACTTGAGTCCAACAAGTTATTCATATATGGAGCATACTAGATAAAGGCTCAGGAAAAACTCATTGCTGAAGAGAACTTAGGTAATCAATTATGTATTTGATAGGGAAAATAAAAACAACTCATGCAGATACTTAGACACTCCCATTCTGAAGTGTAAGAGACAGCAATTGCTGTTCCAATCAATTAGATTACCTTTCCTCATTTTATATTGAATAACTTGATGACTACCTCTCAATAACCCAATAGCAAAACAGAAATAAGGATCTAAGGAAAAACAGCTCATGTTGTAAAAATATACAAAAAAACCCAAAACAACAGAAACAAATATACAAAAACCCAACAGCCTCTTTTTGATCTCCCTGGGACTCTGGCTAGTCTAACTGGCTCAAAGTTACTACTTCCCTATAATACAGCTTTTTTTTTTTTTTTTTTTTTTAAACAAAACAAAAACAACTTTTCCTCGGCTGTGGCCTATACGCTATTTTTCATCCTTAGCGCCAGAATAAGAATTACCAGAGCTTTTAACTGGGCAGTCCAACAACCACCAAGTATAATGTGTCACCTTTCTGCTTTCTTTCACCAACTTTTATTCTTGCGAGGGGAAAGGGGAATTAGACGTACAGGATTTCTGAAGTGCACAAAGGAGACACTTCACAATTGAATCACAAACTGAGTTGTCAGGAGGAGAAGAGGGGCAGCTCAACATACACAGACATATTCACAAACTAAGTGAATCTTACAAGATCATTTTAATTAGAGAAAAAAAGATTGGAATTGATTATTTAATAAATCACCTTCAAATGCAGGATAACAGTTATTTATTTGATATGAAGTTCAATCTTTATCAAAATGCAGCAGTATGCACTTGCTTTTCAATCATTCACTTCCTTTTTGAGAGTTAATAGAAGCAAAATTCTGTCAGGGATATTTTTATAAACAGAAAGCCTTCACTTTTGTTGTGGGAGCGGGGTTACATTTGGGACACACCACTTATGAAAATATCCTGTTAATCCCCACCTAGCACGGTTTACAATAATTTTTTTGTCATTATAATAAAGAACTAGAAAACCCATAGTAAGTTTATAGTGTCAATGATTGGTGATGCTAAAATTTCAGTTAAGCCATAGTTTTAGTGTAAAAACTATGTACATTGAAATGCAGCTTACCTCTGCAAGCATCTGGAGCAGTTTAGTCACATAAGCAAAAGCCTGCGGAAGTACACCATCATAGTCTGACCTTGAGCTGAAAGCATGCAATAGCTTTTTAGATTCCTGGAGCACGATGTTTGCTGTTATGTGGTCAACTGTCTTACCTGATATAAAAACATTAAGAAGAAACATGGGAAATCAGTTTTAGAGAAGTAGGCTAGTTTGGTGTTAAATCGCACAAGCAGTAAAGGAAAAAACTGACAGTTCCAAACTGAAACCAAGTATAATCACCACCAGTTCTATCATTTCAAAAAGGTATTACAATTATTGTATGAATTAAACATTCTAGGAGATCCGTACATATAAAAATAAGTGTGTGTTATTATGTAAGATCATTATCAAACAAAAAAGGGTCTGAAAATCCTATTGACATAAATGGTATAAGATCAGGTGCTAGCTTAGTCTTCTGAGGGTTTAATGCCTGTAGTCAAAGTCCAACAGTAAGCCTAAAAAAATAGTTTCAATGTGCTAGCACATCACTAAACTTAAAGTCTTCTCTAGAACACAAACTCTGATGCACTTTACAAACTCTACTCAATTCAAGGGGCTGAAAGATTGTAAAGTGCTCCCAAGCTCCACTAGATATAGAACTCTGGCTGGAACAGGAAGCTATGTCACACATTCTTGCAATTTTGCTTTTGTGGGCAAAATGCGGGCATGAAGGGAGAGAAGATAATCCTCATCAAATGTTGATCTGTTAAATGTTAAAATGTAAGTATAAAAATCTAGAACACTGCTTTTTAATGAAAAACAAAAACATTTAAAAAGACTCATCTACATTGTTTATTTCAGCCAGTATATGAAATGTCTTGGATACAAACCATGAGCATTAAACAAACAGTTTCAGGAAGGAACATTACAATAAGCAGTGTGTAAAAATAAGACTTTTAATTTTGGATCAAATCACCCTCCATTCAGGATCTGGCATAGGTCATTAAACATGTGTTAGGGTTCCTTCCCCACTCCGAACTTTGGGGTACAGATGTGGGGACCCGCATGGAAGACCTCCTAAGCTTATTTTTACCAGCTTAGGTTAAAAACTTTCCCAATGCACAAATTCCACCTTGTCTTGAACAGTATGTTGCCACCACCAAGTGATTTAGACAAAGAATCAGGGAAAGGACCACTTGGAGTCCTATTCCCCCAAAATATTCCCCCAAGCCCTGCACCCCCTTTCCTGGGGAAGGCTTGAGAATAATATCCTCACCAATTCGTACAGGCAAACACTGACCCAAACCCTTGGATCTTAAGAACAATGAAAAAAAATCAATCGGGTTCTTAAAAGAAGAATTTTAATTAAAGAAAAGGTAAAAGAATCACCTCTGTAAAATCAGGATGGTAAGTACTTTACAGAACAACAAAAGATTCAAAAACCACAGAGGATTTCCCCTCTAGACAAAACTTTAAAGTTACAAAAACAGGGATAAACCTCCCTCTTAGCACAGGGAAAATCCACAAGCTAAAACAAAAAATAACCTAATGCATTTTCTTTGCTATTACTTACTATTTTTGCAATAGCTTAGATATGGCTTAGGGAGATGTATTTTCCCTGCCCTGGTTCCTTGTTGACTCCGGGAGACACAGACAAAAAACCTTCCCCCACAGATTTGACAGTATCTTCTCTCCCCTTTTGGTCCTTTTGGTCAGGTGCCACCCAGGTTATCTAAGCTTCTTAACCCTTTACAGGTAAAAGAGGAATTTACCCTTTACAGGGTAAAGAGGGATTTTATGCTACCCTTAGCTGTATGTTTATGACAAAATGTCCTTATCAGATAATCTGTTCATAACCTGTCCTAACACACCTTCTGGTGGACCATATCCCAGCATAGTACTGAATGGAAAACTACTTCCAACTCATAAAAGCACTGACACTTTCATAACTAAATGCAAGACTCATGTCTTTGACTTTGCTTTCCATCAATAAGTTCTTCAGAGGCACAGCACACCTATACAAATGCCTATAAACTAATTAAGCTGTGGTGGTTTTTTTGTTTGTTTGTTTGTTTGTTTTAATATAACACAAACCAGGAAGGAAGATAGATTACAAATAGAAATAAATACTTTGGAGGTACTTGAGTACTCTGGTAACCAAAGCTATACAAGTTTCTTAGATACGTCGTTCCACTTTCTGGTAGCATGCACATGAAGATGTAATATTTGAAACGAATCCTATAAATGATTGATGATTTCAGTAGTGCCAGTTCGTGTTTGTTCAAATCTGTTAAAAACAGGAAGGGAGCAGCAGACTATCAAAATATTTAATTAAGGCTACCAAAACAGTCTCAAGAGACTGTTAGCTTTTTTGTAGCTTCTTCAATAAGTTGGAGTGAATCCTTGCCCCATTTTAAGGCCCATTTCTGGGCAGATTTGAGGGTTAGGCAGGTTTTTCTTTTTGTCTTTACTGACAACTGTTGTATCATGGCTCTTTGGGCTCAAGTTACAAAATGCTTGCATGCAGCAAACTGGGATTTTTGCCACCCATCTGGAACCACCATCACATTGTGTGAAAGTCAAGAAGGAAGACTACTTCTCCAGGGTATAGTCTCCCTTGAATAACCCATGTAACTCCCATTATTCTTGAATTAAAAGGAGAAAAATAAACCCTTTAAATATGTACAATACGTATATTTTCATTATGCACACTTAAGACTCCTGTGATTAGCGGGCTTGACCTTAATGGAGAGAGGTTGATATTTAGAAGTTTATTACTAAAAAGGAGTCACATAAGATTCTTACCTTTACAAAGATGTTCATGCAGGTATTCAATGGTTGTAAGTAAGCTTCTTGGCACAATAGAGCCAAATACAGCCATCCAGTGTTTTTTAAAGCACTTCAATAAGCTTGCTAGGGTCCATGGGGGCTTCAGATACAGTACCTAAAAGTGAAAAGTTTAAAACTTCACAACCATATAACTTTATCAATGTACATTTCTCAATTGTGCTATTCTTTAATACCAATTGTACATGCTGAAGTAAACATCGAAAGCATTCTCCGAAATAAAAGATCAGGTGGATTTTTCCTGGTAAAGAGATTGTATATTACATGACAAATCATAGCTTTGTTCAATTTAGTTTTACACAGGAGGTGTCTTACACAGGTACAGACCCTTCTTAAAAGCATTCCAATTAGCATATGTGCACTGCTGTGACTAGGACTATTTAGACTTTTATGAAGTATTTCTGTGAAGGATATTCTATTTGTACAACACTCAAGATTTACAAGCTCAAATAAGAAATGTTAGTTCTAGTAACTTGATAGCTCTCAGAGTTCATCTTGTGCAGATGAGTATAAAGTAAAGTAATTAACCATTCCAGCTAGATGAAAATGTTAATTGGAAGACACACAGAGCTAAATAACTGGATTGATAGTCTTCTGGCTATAATCAGAATATTTTGGTTCTACCCCCAACTCTGTCACACACTTCCTGTGTGAATTTTGAAAAGACAGATCATCTTTGTGCCTCAGTTTCCCCACCTGAAAGTGAGGATAGTACTATTTCCCCTTCTCTCAAGGTTTTGGAAAACTTAATGTTTGTAAAGTGCTTTGAGCTCTTGGATGCTATGGAACATGGGTACAGCTTGCTGAAGAAGAATGGGCAGGGGAAAAAGGGAGGAGGTGTTGTCTTGTATATTAAATGTATACACGTGGACTGAGGTTGAGATGGAAATAGGAGACAGACTTGTAGGAAGCCTCTGGGTAAGGATAAGAGGGGTAAAAAAAAAAAACAAGGGTGATGTCATGGTAGGGATCTACTACAGACCACCTAACCAGGAAGAAGAGGTGGATGAGGCTTTTTTTAAACAACTAAACAAAATCATCCAAAGCACAGGACTTGGTGGTGATGGGGGACTTCAACGACTCAGACATCTGTTGGGAAAATAACACAGCAAGGCACAAATTATCCAACAAGTTCTTGGAATGTATTGGAGACAATTTTTTATTTCAGAAGGTGGAGAGGGCTACTAGGGGAGAGGCTGTTCTAGATTTGATTTTGACGAATAGGGAGGAACTGGTTGAGAATTTGAAAGATGAAGGCAGAGTGGGTGAAAGTGAGCATGAAATGATACAGTTCATGATTCTTAGGAATGGTAGGAAGGATAAAGATAATAGATTTCAAGAAGGCAGACTTTAGCAAACTCAGGGAGTTGGTAGGTAAGATCCCATGGGAAGGAAGTCTAAGGGGAAAAACAATGGAAGACAGTTGGCAGTTTTTCAAAGAGACATTATTAAGGGCACAAGAGCAAACTATCCCAATGTGTAGGAAAGATAGGAAGTATGGCAAGAGATCACCCTGGCTTAACCAGGAGATTGTCTAATCTAATAATCAAAAAAGAGAGTCCTACAAAAAAGTGGAAACTAGGTCAAATTACAAAGGATGAATATAAAACAAATAACACAAGCCTGTAGGGACAAAATTAGAAAGGCCAAGGCACAAAATGAGATCAAACTAGCTAGAGACAAAGGGCAACAAGAAAAAATTCTATAAATATATTAGAAGCAAGATGACGATCAAGGACAGAGTAGGCCCGTTATTCAATGAGGGGGAAAAAAACAATAACAGAAAACATGGAAATGGCAGAGGTGCTTAATGACTTCTTTGTTTTGGTTTTCACCAAGAAGGTTGCTGGTGATTGGACATCTAAAATAGTGAATGTCAGTGAAAATGTGGAAGGATCAGAGGCTGAAATAGGGAAAGAACAAGTTAAAAATTATTTAGACAAGTCAGATGTCTTCAAGTCACCAGGGCCTGATGAAATGCATCCTAGAATACTCAAGGAACTGACTGAGGAGGTATCTGAGCCATTAGCGATTATCTTTGAAAAGTCATGGAAGACAAGAGAGATTCCAGAAGACTTGAAAAGGGCAAATACAGTGCCCATCTATAAAAAGGGAAATAAAGACAACCTGGGGAATTACAGACTGGTCAGCTTAACTTCTGTACCTGGAAAGATAATGGAGCAAATAATTAAGCAATCAATTTGCAAACATCTAGAAGATAATAAGGTGATAAGTAATAGTCAGCATGGATTTGTCAAGAACAAATCGTGTCAAACCAACCAGGTACTTTCTTTGACAGGGTAACAAGCTTTGTGGATGGGGGGAAAAGCAGTAGACGTGGTATATCTTGACTTTAGTAAAGCTTTTGATACTGTCTCGCATGACCGTCTCATAAACAAACTAGGGAAATGCAACCTAGATAGAGCTACTATAAAGGTGGGTGTAAAACTAGTTGGAAAACCATTCCCAGAAAGTAGTTATCAGTAGTTCACAGTCATGCTGGAAGGGCATAACGAGTGGGGTCCCGCAGGGATCAGTTGTGGGTCCGGTTCTGTTCAATATCTTCATCAAATGATTTAGATAATGGTATAGAGAGTACACTTATAAAGTTTGCAGATGATACCACTCGGGGAGGGGTTGCAAGTGCTTTAGAGGATAGAATTAAAATTCAAAATGATCTAGACAAACTGGAGAAATAGTCTGAAGTAAATAGGATGAAATTCAATAAGGACAAATGCAAAGTACTCCACTGAGAAAGGAACAAATCGGTTCCACACATACAAAATGGGAAATGAGTGCCTAGGAAGGAGTACTGCAGAAAGGGCTCTGGGGAGTCATAGTGGACCACAAGCTCAAATATGAGTCAACAGTGTGACACCGTTGCAAAAAAAAAAAAAAAAAAAAAAAAAAAAAAGCAGACATCATTCTGGGATGTATTAGCAGGAGTGTTGTAAGCAAGACACGAGAAGTAATTCTTCCGCTGTACTCCATGCTGATAGGCCTCAACTGGAGTATTGTGTTCAGTTCTGGGCGCCACATTTCAGGAAAGATGTGGACAAATTGGAGAAAGTCCAGAGAAGAGCAACAAAAATTATTAGAAGTCTAGAAACATGACCTATGAGGGAAGATTGAAAACACTGGGTTTGTTTAGTCTGGAAAAGAGAGAACTGAGAAAGGACATAACAGTTTTCAAGTACATAAAAGGTTTTTACAAGGAGGAGGTAGAAAAATTGTTCTTCTTAACCACTGATGATAGGACAAGAAGCAATGGGTTTAAATTGCAGCAAGGGAGGTTTAGGCTGGGCATTAGGAAAAACTTCCTGTCAGGGTGGTTAAGCACTGGAATAAATTGCCCAGGGAGGTTGTGGAATCTCCATCATTGGGGATTTTTAAGAGCAGGTTAGACAAACATCTGTCAGGAATGGTCTAGATAATACTTAGTCCTACCATGAGTGCAGGAGACTGGACTAGATGACCTCTCGAGGTCCCTTCCAGTCTTATGATTCTACGTTACAGAAGTCCAAAGTTACTGTTAATAAAATATGCATTTTGAAAATTCACATTGAACAACCAGACAGCACATAGATTACTATTAAATGTAATGTTGCACAGACATTACTAGTGAAACAATCATCCCAATATCAAAATACATAATGAAATTTAACAATACTCTATGTGAGTGGATGCTCACAGGATTGGAAATGGCAAGCATGAATCTTCGCTTCTAGGTCACTTGTTCAAATTCCCTTAAGTTATCAGATGGCCTGTGTAAAGTGAATTACTGCTCTTAGCCTAATACATGTTAGAGAGGTGTCCACACCACAAGAACACCAAAAGGCAAACTCTCAAAAGAGGTGAAGTACAAAATGAGTTTGGACACTGAATTTCCGTAGGTTGAACTATACTAGCAGAGCAGTTGCGGGAGGCAGGTGGTGGCAATGGGAGGGAGAAATGCTTCAACTAATGTTGCCTGTGATGTAACTGTCCTATAGATTTTTTTTTTTTAATTTAAAAAAGAATCTAAAATGTTAGTATGGTCACACTGGCACCTTGCAATTAAACACACATTCTACAATGGTTTAATTGACAAATTAATTAAACTCTCATGGATTAAGATAACACTAGAATCCCTAACCAGAACTGTAGTCTTATTGCAACATTACTTATCAAAATTTATTCTGTATAATTTTAAAGAATGTTTCTCATCATACCTCTTTTCTTATTGGTGCATTTTTACATGAACAGTTTAGATATAAAAAAAATAAAAAAATAATCAAACGTTGAAACTCTCAAGCACAGAAGCAGAGTCCCTGAAGAATCACGACAGAGGGCAGCACAATTGGTCAGTTTTGCAGTTTTCAAACAAACAAAAAAAATCTGTTTAAATTTTCATAAGAGGTTATAATTGAAAATGAGTTCAGGGTCAACAACTGGAATGTATTTTGAGACATCTTCCACATCATTGTACTGTATCAGCCTTATTTGTCATTAACATTGTAACATAAAAAGCAGACAGATTGAATTTTGGACTCCGACACAATCTTTAACTTAGTATTTGAAATATCAAGCAAAACACCACAAATAACCACCTCCATCCACAAGTTTCCAAAAGCAATTTTCATTTCAGTTTCTAATATCGAGGACAAAGCTTCTCCTAAACTTTTTTCAAGGTCAGGAACAATGCTTAGGAGTGGAGTAGTAAGGCTGGGATCTTCCCTCTTGGTTTTCTGGGACCCAGTATCTGCCAAGTAAATACAATTACAGTAAGTGCTTTCTTTAGTGTATTATTCATAGAAATTAGTTATAGAAACAAGTTGCTAGGTTCTGTAATCCAGTCTTTGCGAGTGCTGGATTGTTGCCTACAACATATTTAATATTTTGTCCTCTAGTTGTAGGTCTCCAGCTACAGAGGATTCCATCACTTTACTTCTATGTAGTTACTTCTACTACTCCATGACCACAATATCCAAGCACCTTCCAAGTATTTTAAAATAGAATCAACAGTGTCCATATTTCTCACCTCTCCTCCCCCACACACCACCACCAGAAGGAGAAATAGCATGATTCTTCTCTAGTTTATGTTTGTGACTTGCTTGTATGTTGTGTGAAGAGCCTACTGAACTTAAGAACTGCCATACTGGGTCAGACCAATGGTCCATCGAGCCCAGTGCCCTGTCTGACACTAACCAGTACCAGAGCTTCAGGAGGAGCATACAGAACAGGGCAATTTGACGGATCAACCCCCATCTTCTCCTCCCAGCTTCTGGTACTCAGCTGTTATGGGTTGCCCTGAGCACAGGCTTGCATCCCTGACCATCTTGGCTAATAACCATTGATGGAACTATCTTCCATGAATTTATCCATATCTTTGTTTAACCCAGTTATACTTTTGGCCATCAGAACAGCCCATGGCAATGAGTTCCATAGGTTAGCTGTGCATTGTGTGAAAAAGTACTTCCTCTTGGTTTGTATTAAACCTGCTTATTAATTTCATTGGAGACTCTTGGTTTTTGTATTGTGGGAAAGGGTAAAAAACAAAAACAAAAAACCACAAAAATTCTCTATTCACTTTTTCCACCCCATTCATGATTTTACAGATCTCTATCATATCCAGCTCAGTCATCTTATTTCAAAGCTTAACTGCCCTAAACTTTTTAGTCTCTTCTCGTCTGGAAGCTCATCCACACACTTGATCATTGTTCCTCTTCCATGAATCTTTTCCAGTTCTACTAGATCCTTTTTGAGATGCGGTGACTAGAACTGGGAATGGTATTCAAGGTATGGGTACAACATGGACTTACAGAGCGACACTAGGAGATTTTGTCTGATTTCCTATCCCTTTCCTAACCATTTCTAACATTCGGTTAGCCTTTTTGATTGCTGCGGCAAATTGAGCTGAAGTTGTCAGAGAAGTATCCATGGTGCCTCCAAGATCTCTTTTAATTAGCTAATTTAGACCCCTTCGTTTTATATGTATGGTTGGGATTATTTTTTCCAATCTGCACTACTTTGCATTTATCAGGTTGAATTTCATCTGCCATTTTGTTGTCCAGTCACCTACTTTTGTGAGAAACCCCTCTGTCTTTTCACAATCACTTTGGGATTTAACATAATTTTTGGGGAAAAGAGTCAACATGTTTTTTGTAAAGGGAAAATCATGCCTCCACAATCTACTAGAATTCTTTGGGGGAGCGGGGGAAGTCAACAAGCATGTGGACAAGGGGGATTCAGTAGATATAGTGTACGGAGATTTTCAGAATGCCTTTGACAAGGTCCTCACCAAAGGCTCTTAAGGAAAGTAAGCGGTCATGGGATAAGAGGTAAGGTCCTCTCATGGACTGGTATCTGGTTAAAAGACAGGAAACAAAGGGTAGGAATAAATGGACAGTTTTCAGAGTGGAGAGAGGTAAATAGTGGTGTTCCTCAGGGGTCTATACTGGGACTAGTACTATTCAACATATTCATAAATGATGTGGAAAAAAGGGGTAAACAGTGAGGTGGCAAAATTTGCAGATGATACAAAACTGCTCAAGACAGCTAAGTGCAAAGCAGACTGCAAAGAGCTGCAAAGGGATCTTGATAAATACAAAGTAATGCACACTGGAAAAAAATAATCTCAACTATACATATTGTGACAAAGTTCCTCCTCTATCTTGGCGGGTCCTGCGCTTATTGGCGGATTTTTTTGCCTCAGAGATTCACCATGTGGGTTGGGGAACAGCCCAAAGACCTTCCCCTCTGGAAGAACCCACAGTCCAGGTCCGTTGGGAGGTTTGGGGGGAACCCGGGCCCGCCCTCTACTCCTGGTTCCAGCCCAGGGCCCTGTGGACTGCAGTTGTCTATAGTGCCTCCTGTAACAGCTGCATGACAGCTACAACTCCCTGGGCTACTTCCCCATGGCCTCCTCCAAACACCTTCCCTATTCTCACCACAGGACCTTCCTCCTGGTGTCTGATAACGCTTGGGCTCCTCAGTCCTCCAGCAGCACACCCTCTCACTCTCAGCTTCTTGCGCCTCTTGCTCCCAGCTCCTCACACTCACACCACAAACTGAAGTGAGCTCCTTTTTAAAACCCAGGTGCCCTGATTAGCCTGCCTTAATTGATTCTAGAAGCTTCTTCTTAATTGGCTCCAGGTGTCCTAATTAGCCTGCCTGCCTTAACTGGTTCTAGCAGGTTCCTGATTACTCTAGTACAGCCCCTGCTCTAGTCACTCAGGGAACAAAAAACTACTCATCCAGTGACCAGTATATTTGCCCTCTACCAGACTCCTGTATCCCATTGGTATGGGTCTGTCACAATATAAAATGATGGGGTCTAAATTAGCTGTTACCACTCAAGAAAGATTTTGGCATCATTGTGGATAGTTCTCTGAAAACATGCACTCAATGTGCAGCGGCAGTCAAAAAAGCTAACAACGTTGGTAATCATTAAGAAAGGGATAGATGAGACAGAAAATATATTGCCTGTATATAAATCCATGATACATCTATATCTTGAATACTTTGTGCAAATATAGTCGCCCCATCCCAAAAAAAGATATATTGGAATTGGAAAAGGCTCAGGAAAGGGCAACAAAAATGATTGGGGTATGGGACGGCTTCTGTTTGAGGAGAGATTAATAAAATTGGGACTTTTCAGCTTGGAAAAGAGACAACTAAGGGGGATATGATAGAGGTCTATAAAATCATGACTGGTGTGGAGAAAGTAAATAAGGAAGTATTATTTACTACTTCTCATAACACAAGAACTAGGGGTCACCAAGTGAAATTAATAGGAAGCAGGTTTAAAAAACAAATAAAAGGAAGTATTTCTTCACACAATGCACAGTCAACCTGTGGAACTCTTTGCCAGAGGATGTTGTGAAGGCCAAGACTATAACAGGATTTAAAAAAGAACTAGATTAATTCATGGAGGATAGGTCCATCAATGGCTATTAGCCAGGACAGGCAGGGATGGTGTCCCTAGCCTCTGTTTGCCGGAAGCTGGGAATGGGCGACAGGGAATGGATCACTTGATGATTACCTATTCTGTTCATTCCCATTTCCCTGTCGGAAGACGGGAAAGTAGGCTAGATGGACCTTTGGTCTGACCCAGTATGGCCATTCTTATCTATAATGTTTTAATCACTGTTCACTCCCTTTTCCAGATCATTAATGTATATGTTGAACAGCACTGGTCCCATCAAGATCCTTAAGAGAAAGATTAGCAAATAACTGAATTTTGTCTTAGTTCTGGAAGTACGCACGTCCATCATTCTTTTCTAGTAGCAGACAGTTCCCTAGTTCAGGTTCTCTGAAAGTTTAGTCTCGCACACTTCATGAATTTCCTCCTACTAGCTGAGTTTCTTTGTTCGGAACATACCAAAGATGGGAAGTTCAATCACACAGGGAGAGGTGATCTCTTTGGTACTTAGAGCCATTCCTACAGAGGGCTCTTAATATTAGGCAGAAACCTTGCTCTGGATTCTGTATTTGAAGGGCAGCAAGTGTAAAGAGCACTAAGATGTGTCCACAGAAAGCTGTGTTACTAAGCACATGGGGTATTTCAGCCTTCTAGATCAGACTAAGTCCCTTCCCAGCAGGTTATTTGCCCTAAATTTCATTTTCTTAGGTTTTCCTCAGTACTTATTATGCCAATTTGTATTATGCTTTGTCTTAAGCAACAGACCACTAACCAAGATGACCTAATTTCTCAGAATATATTTATTCATGATTCTACTCCACATTCCTGATTTTTTAAGTGACTTAGAAATGAACTTACTTGTGTGTGTCTAAGAAATACCTGTCTATAGAATACTAAGGGCCAAATACAGCTAGGGTCTAAGTAGGTAAAATTCCACTGACTGCAATAGAATTATACCTGGTATATTACAAGACAACTCCATAATACTGTTTAATACGAACAGCTATCTTGAATCCTGAATAGTAAGAATTGGCCCACTCAAGGCTAAGTTACACCATTATAACCCATTGCCAATGGTACAAGTATAGCTGTTCATATTAAGCAGTATTATTAAGTGACCTTAGATTTATAAGTTAGTTCAGGAATCCAACTAATAGTAGATTCATGGACTTAGTATGAAACCTTTTTGAGTTAGAGTGTTGTGTTGGGGCTAACCTCTATTTAAAAAATAGATTTTTTAAAAAGGTGGCTAGAAGTTTTGTTTTAATGCACACATATACACAGAGCTGGGAAACGTACTTACTACTTTCATTATTCGATTAACTGAAACAGTTTTACTCAAGCTCTCAAACTTTCACACACACACGTCATCTTTGGGTAGAGACCAAAGGTGGAAAATGTCAGCCCTCAAGGTGAATGTTCTAGAAGTTCTGAGTGTATGAAGACAGAAACTTAATTTTCTGCAAATGTAATTATGCTCTGAATGACTCACAGGGCCACTATAAATATGCGCACACATGCAAACTAACCTGTTTTTGATTGTTGTAGGCCAACACAGTTCTGATGGCTGTTTAGATTCAGGTTCTGGAGTGCAGTAACCAAATCTGCTTTGCATAGGGCCTTTACATCACTCACTAGGGCTTTGCTGCATAAATTTTTATCATCCCTATGAAAAGAGATTTACTTTTGTTTTGATTGTATTAACTTCTCAACAACACGGTTATATTCTAAATCGTAAAGCTAACCCATTGACAAACTTGTCTTCAGTAAGCCCATATAAATCTTGAAGGGCTTCACTATAAACAACATATTGCCAGCGAAAGAAAAAAAGGTACCCATGTAAGAAAGCAGATGAGATAGCTAAATCAAGAAGTAGCTATTCTGAAAAGAAACACACAAAATATATTAAAGTTTTTTTTTGTTTTTTTATAACCACACTTTAGGCCTGATTTCACTGGAAAAGCAGCTGCAAACACTGACATCTTTTAACTCAACAGATCAAACCATATTTGTTTACTTACTGCCAAAAATAAAAACAACTCCCCCCGCGCCACACGTCTTTACATCAAATTGGATTTTTTAAAATTTAAATCAGTTTAATTAAAATTAAACAATTTTTCTTTTTAAAATAAAACTAAAAATAAATTTTAATTGATAACCTATTTTAAGACCTACACTTACTCTAATCTATTAAAATAATTTAAAATTAAATAAAAATATTCAAGCAGGACATGGTTTGCTACTAAAATTTTAATGAAAGTCAAATCACTGAACTGGTAGAAGTCACTGGCTAAAGCACCTGGAACCAGAGTAAGTTGAAATGCTAAATCAGCTTTTGACAGTAGTAGCCTCTTCTGAGAGAATATTTCAGGTCAATGACTAATTCATTCAAAAGGTGAGAAACCATTT